TCCCTACCTATCCTAGTAACCTCTAGGCGTTATACTAGATTTTCTAGGCGAGTAGGTGAACTCACAGGGCTCTAACCTGAGGACGTTGCTAACACTAGCCCTAGCAAGAGCAGTGCTTCCCAGAATCTACCACCGGATCGGAAACGCGACCCACTGAGAAGATGCGACGAGAAACTTAGTGGGCTGTGTCTATGGGTTACTTTACTCGCCGAACCCTTCGTCGTGACCGGCGCAGAACGCTACTTACTACCTATACTATCGTGAATACCTTAGCCACCTCAAACAACACCTTTTTTTTTTTTTTTGTTTTTCGGGTAGAGGGCCGAACCTCCTACGAGGTCCCCGCGCAAAAGGGGCGCGCGGGGTATGTGAGACTCAACGGTCTGCACGGTGTTGTGAGCAGACCGCGGGCCCAAGGATTTTAGGACCCACCCACTAAACGACTCCCCTGCACTCTTACACCCGACGTTCAATCCCCTCCGAGGTCAGAACCCGGATGAGGTAGGGGGGCTACCGCGGTCAACACTACAAACAGACGGCGCGGCTCACCCCAAGGACGCCCAGCCGACGGAGCCTTCAAGGCGAATCGAAGGCTCTGAAACGTCGGCCGTCTCGGTACGGCAGCCCGTCGGGCCGCCCAGACGGTGCCGCTGGTGTCCCGGAATACCCCGCTGGACCAGAACCAGCCTGCCGGGTCGGGACGCGATACACCGTCGACCGGTCGCTCTATTCACTCCACGGCAGCGCGCTAGAGTGCTGGTAGCGCGCCGCGCGGCCTCACNTTTTTTTGTAAGTTTGTATATGCAGTTTTTTGTTTTCTTTGTCTTAATTTAATATTAGTTAACGATATTTTTATCTTAAGCACAAACGCTCTTAAGCAAGATGTGTTCACATCCAAAAGGGTGAATTCGATAATGTATTATTTTATGTAAATAAGTTCAATGTTTATGTGTGCAGTTTTCATCCAGTTGTGTGAACCTAATAAAAAAAAAAAAAAAAAAAAAAAAAATAATCCCAATTACGTGTTCTCTCGACCCAAGTCATCAAAACAACTATCCAAAACTTCAATTCAAAGTTTCTTGCCGAAAATTTTTTGTATAAAAAAGCTATATCAAGACCTTTCGGAGCTCGCATGTAATAATACGCCCTTAAAACAGAATTATAAAGTATTAGATCTTGTGTTCGGTACGCCTCATGGAGCGTGTCGCTCAGATTTCGTAACGAACGTTTCCCTGCCCTCTTTGCATACACGCACTCGGAATATTAATTTTGCTGGTATGAAAAAAGAGTACATCCAAAGGAACGAAACAATTTTATCGAGGGGAACTTTATAAGCGACTTGTGATTTTTAAGGGCGGGTTTTTTTTCTCATGCATTTTTCCGTTGTGTTCGATAATGGAATTTCAGAAGGTAAAACCGAAGTTTGTTCTTAAACTTCACGGCCCGTCGATTCCGAAATATAACGTTTGGTTTGGTAATTGACAAAGCATGTCCCTTAAAAAAATATATAAATAATATTCTATGTAAGTACTAAAATCGATAAGTCGACGAACTGGTGGTAAAACCTCTTGTTAGTCCGCACGGGTAAGTACCACTACCCTGTCTATTTCTACCGTGAAGCAGTAATGCGGTTCGCTTTGAAGGGTGAGGGGCAGCCGCTGTAACTATACTGAGACCTTAGTATTTATATCTCAAGGTGGGTGGCGCATTTACGTTGTAGATGTCTATGGGCTCTAGTAACCATTTAACATCAGGTGGGCTGTGAGCTCGTCCAACCATCTAAGCAAAATAAAAATTATCGATAAGTCGACGAACTTAGCTGGTCACTAGCTAACTGAAATCGTATTTTTCTGTAGCACTAATATATAAAAATGAATTGTTAAAACTCGAGAACGGCTGGACCGATTTGGTTAATTTTGGTCTTGACTTATTTGTGGAAGTCCAGAGAAGGTTTAAAAGATGAGAAAATATAAAAAAACTCGGAATTATATAAAAAACAAACAATTTTGTTTTTCCTTTGATGTGTCCCCTTGGTGTTTCTTTTATTTATCGATTGAGGCACTACGAAGTCTGCCGGGTCAGCTAGTTTAAAATAAACTAAAAGAATGAAGCAGCGTCTATCTTCCGTCGTTCAGAATCGCATATTCACTTTCTTTGGTCATGTGTCGCGACAAGTGACGACTCAGTGGAACGCTTTATAGTGCAAGGCATGATTGAGGATACAAGCCCACCAGATCACCTTTACGATGGACCGAGCAAATAACAGCAGCTAGTGCACAAGAAAGGTAGAGGTATGCGAAGAATGGCCACGTCTTGTGAAACGCACCACCACACGAACTGATGAAACAACTACTCTGCCAAGAGTGCAAACGACTAAGAAAATTTAATGAATAGAATAGAAACAATTAGCGTTAATATCAGCTGTTGTTTCAAGAAAAGGGCTTTATTTTCGAACAACATCAGATAACTCAATAGCCCTTTACTGAGTTAATGCTTAAATTTTACTTCTATTAAAACAAGCAATAGGCAGCAAATACTGCCATTGAATGGTACTAATGTTCCCGTAATAATTCTGACACAAAGTGTGCTCAAGGTACTGTGAACCAACCACGCACGGTCGCCCGGCCCTAAATTAGAATTCGCTATGTTATGGCTGCGAGAGACTGACATACATGCTTGTATAAGTTGAAATATATACATATATAGATAATGAACACCCAAACAACAAACATACCTATTCATCACAGGAATGTTTGCTCGAAGTGAGAATCGCACCCACGACCCTTAACCCAAAAATTAGGGCTAACTAACTACTGCAACACCGAGTGGGTAAGAAAAGGTAGATTTTAAAGGAAAAGTCGTTATGAAGATTCTTAAAAAATCGAGTTTTCGTACTTATATCTCTGTAAGCCGTACATTTTGGTAACATTGTACCAGCGAACAGCATTAAAATGAAGTGCCTTTTCTTTTATTGCTTAAATTGATGGACGAGCTCACAGCCCACCTGGTGTTAAGTGGTTACTGGAGCCCATAGACATCTACAACGTAAATGCGCCACCCACTTTGAGATATAAGTTCTAAGGTCTCAGTATAGTTACACCGGCTGCCCTACCCTTCAGACCGAAACGCATTACTGCTTCACGGCAGAAATAGGCAGGGCGGTGGTACCTACCCGCGCGGACTCACAAGAGGTCCTACCACCAGTAACATAAACATATAGTATAACTGGGCCACATTTCAGTCTGTAAATATTATAACTTTATTTGAGAGAACGCACTGACCTCATTCGTTCCAATATTGGATAAAAACCAAGTTAAACACAATACGCTGAACCTTTAATCCCCTATTCAACCCACGACGTGACCAGAATCTGGTCGCAGCCAAGTAATTGTTTCCAGCTTGTCCCCGACGTTACTCGATGACTCTGCTGATTTATGTACGCGACTGTACAGCTGTGTAGTTGATTTATCGTCTACTGTTCGCATCGGAAAGTAGTTCGAACCCTAACAATAAAGTCGGGCTTTCGTGATGTGCTATTTGGCTGTTATTGGAAACAAACTATGAAATTTCCAAATTATATATAGAAATAAATAAAATTGGAGTGTCTGTTTGTAATAATAAAATAACCACTTTTTACTAAATGCGTAAGTATGTATATGTTTGTCTGTCCGTCTGTTTGTTCTGTCTAATCTCTGGAACGGCTGAACTGATTTTGACGGGACTTTCACTGATATGTAGCTGATGATATAAGGAGTAATTTAGGCTATTTTATTTAGCAGCGTCACCCTCGGTATGACAATGACCGTGGGTAACATCGCGGGACTCAGCTAGTACTTGGAATATTTCTGGTTTTGCCTATTTAAATACTTGCTATTACTAATTTTGTCAAGAATTTGGTTAGTAAATCCGTTTCTGTCAAAACAAAATAGCTCACGAATCGCGTGATATCATTTCCTTGTTGTATTAATTAGCGATGACGGCAGGTAACAAAACAAGGGTTCATTCTATTTGGAAGATAACTTAAGCATTACTCCAATGAAGACTTTGACCTCACGTGTCTCAACGTCGACGATAACATACCTTTTTTTTTTTTTTCGAGTAGAGGGCCGAACCTCCTACGAGGTCCCCGCGCAAAAGGGGCGCGCGGGGTATGTGAGACTCAACGGTCTGCATGGTGTTGTGAGCAGACCGCGGGCCCAAGGATTTTAGGACCCACCCACTAAACGATTCCCCTGCACTCTTACACCCGACGTCCGATCCCCTCCGAGGTCAGAACCCGGATGAGGTAGGGGGGCTACCGCGGTCAACACTACAACCAGACGGCGCGGCTCACCCCAAGGACGCCCAGCCGACGGAGCCTTCGAGGCGAATGGAAGGCTCTGAAACGTCGGCCGTCTCGGTACGGCAGCCCGTCGGGCCGCCCAGACGGTGCCGCTGGTGTCCCGGAATACCCCGCTGGACCAGAACCAGCCTGCCGGGTCGGGACGCGATACACCGTCGACCGGTCGCTCTATTCACTCCACGGCAGCGCGCTAGAGTGCTGGTAGCGCGCCGCGCAGCCTCACCCCCTCAGGTCGCCCCTTGACCTTCACCGGGGGGAGGCCGCTACCTACAGGGGCCGGGACGTACGGGCGTATTCCCGCCTCCGGCCCCCGGCTCGACGGCGACGGATCGGTGCGGAAAGGGCAGAGCTCTCCCTCTCTCGCTCCGCCGCCTCCTTCTGCGAGATGGTGGACTCGCAAAAGTCGAGCATCGCCTTCCAGGACGCGTCGCTGCCGAGCATCGTAGCCACGACGCGCGGCAGCGAGAGGTTCTCTCCTATGACCGCGACGAGGGCGGCGCGTTGCTCGTCGAATCCAGAGCAACGCGCCAGTGTGTGTTCCGCGACGATAACATACCTAGATGACATAGTGATCTTTTGCAATCATTTTATACGATCTACGTCAAGGAACGTGACCTTTGTGCTTTGTATCTGTTGCTAAACTAAACTTATTCAACAGGATCGAGGAGGCTGGTCACAGTGGAGCGATTGGTCCATGTGCTCGAGGACCTGCGATGGTGGAGTGTCTAGACAACTGAGGACCTGCTCCTCACCGGCCGGCTGTCGTGGGGAACCTGTGCGTTACAAGATCTGCAATATGCAGGTTAGTTTAATTCAGCCATTTTTAATATGCTAACAAACAACATCTTTCGATACGTTTAGGAAAAAAAAAATTGAAATTTCGGAATATCAATAAAAAAAATACTTGTAATTTCTCTCACTCATGCAACTACTTCTCTTAAGACACTAGACAATCTCATTTACAACCGGTAATTCCATCATTCGTGACTTCTGCGTCCAAGGAAACATGACTGTAGAAAAAGATAAACCAGTGCGGTCTCACACCTTATTGTAGTTACCTTACCCCCAGTTATTCCGCATAATCTTTTGCACTTATAAATTTCATTTCACAAAGTCATTCCTTCATCACGGCAAGCGTCCACGAATATGTGATTGTCACTGCTCGTAGGATTTAACCATTATTACCATTTAGACCACGACGACTTTTTGACGTGACAACGTCTTATAATTCGATGGAGCCGGCTGCACGCACGAAAAAACATAACTCATTGAGGCGTTCCATTTAAGGCTTGAAGTGTAAGCGAGAGCGCGCAACGAGCGATAAAGAGGCACAATCGGCCTCCGCGTTCGGCAGCGTTCGACATCTGTCTCTCTCCTACTTGAGTGAGCGATGCATCCGCGTGGACAGCTGCTATACAATAATACATATTTTCGTCAAGTATGAAGTTCAGTGAAATGTGGTGTCAATTGTCCATACAAAATAATTATCTATCAAATAAATAAAATTAAAATTTTCTTTTGAAAAATGAAACCATTCCATCAGTATTTTCTTATGACGATTTTACGTTCAACTATCGTCAGTAAACCGACTTTACAGACAAACGATTTTTAAAGTGCCAATTTTCGTCTTCTATTGCAAACTAATTTAACACGTGATGTTAGCGGTACGAATTCCCCTAGACCCTGACACGGCGTATCGATTAAACTTTAACGTATTTAAAGCAATATCAAAACTAAGTAAACAGGTTGAAACTTGGCTTTCATCGTTCAGAAATGCCCCTATGATTAATAGTTGAGTATTCCGGCTTCGACGTGGGACGGGTTTGTTTACGCCGATGATTGAGACTTTATGAAATCATACACGAAACTGCGTCTTTAGAAAATAAGGTAGGATATCTTTAAACGTTTGTAATGTAGATAATGTCGGCCAAACTGCATTTTCGGAAAACGTAATACGGTTATAGTTCGAATTCTGCTAGAGATTAAGTAAAAAAAATAATTAAATATAAAATATATACGTGTGTAAGACGTGCATGTGTACATGTGCACAAAAAACTAACGTATGAAGGAATATTATGTTGTAAGACAACTTATGCGATTATAATTAGACAATAATAATTTAATTTTAGAACAATAATAAAATAAGACCACGCTATATTTAGAAACATTAACAAAAGCAAAACATTAGCTGTCCCCTTCACACTCATAAGCTAGACCGCGCGAGAGAGAGATGGGCAGACTTATCATGATGCGCATGCAGCACAAGCGCAACTTGTGAATGTGTTGAACGCGAGTTACATGGTAAGCGGAGTGGGGGGGGGTATTAGGTTTTATTTTCGTTACGGAATTTCTTGATTCGGTCGCTCAAAGCTCGCGATAAGCTATACAATAGCTTAAAAGAAAATTCATAAACTTTATGATTATCATTTAATTGTCTATGAATATCTAGTCTGTTGAAAATCTGAGAAATGTTCTTGACGATTCTAGGGATTTCGTATCGACTATAAAATGGTTGCAGAGATGGCACGCAGTCAGTTAGTAATCGGAACTACTCGAAGCGAAGCAGCGAACGGATCGCCTGAAGCGAAGCGGAAGAAGCGAATTAAGAATTCTAAAGTGTTCTACGAGTGTTCTGAGTGCTAATACAGTTTTAATTTGTACTTTAATGGAAGTTTTTGGAACCCCAGCGGGTAACATTACACTGTCAAGTCTTTTGTCGTTACGCATCGGTGTGATGGACGGTCGCGGTTAAACTCTATCAAAGTGTTCACAACTCGGCACAAACGCGTTTTATCGTGAATGAATAATTTGTATCCGATAGTTTGTCTTGGCTCGGTTTATGTTCGACGAACTTCTGGCGACACACAGATAGACAAACAAAACTAGTTTGTTGCTCCAAGATCGATAGAGTCAAAGAAAACGACAGGAACATTGATAAAGTCTTAAACGAATTTTGAAGTCGTCGTGGCCTAAAGGATAAGACGTCCGGTGCATTCGCATGTGTTCGAATCGGTGTTCGAATCCCGCAGGCGGGTACCAATTTTTCTAATGAAATACGTACTCAACAAATTTTAATGTTCACGATTGACTTCCACGGTGAAGGAATAACATCGTGTAATAAAAATCAAACCCGCAAAATTATAATTTGCGTAATCACTGGTGGTAGGACCTCTTGGGAGTCCGCAGGGGTAGGTACCACCACCCCGCCTATTTCCGCCGTGAAGCAGTAATGCGTTTCGGTTCGAAGGGTGGGGTAGCCGTTGTAACTATACTGAGACCTTAGAACTTATATCTCGAGGTGGGTGGCGCATTTACGTTGTAGATGTCTATGGGCGCCAGTAACCACTTGACACCAGGTGGGCTGTGAGCTCGTCCACCCATCTAAGCAATAAAACAAAAAAGTGGTTTAAAAATGTTCCCGATGCCAAAATGTTAATCATTTGACACGCAAAATAAAACGAAAAAGCTGGCAGTAATTTTACCGCCCCTGTACTCTCTCTGACTTTCGAAAGATATTGGAGGGTATTTAACGGTAGGCAACAGCTTGGCTCTACCCCTGGCATTGCTGACGTCCATGGGCGACGGTAACCACTCACAATCAGTGGGCCATATGCTCGTCTGCCTACAAAGGCAATAAAAAAAAGTGACGTAGCATGGAAAATGGTGCGCAAATTGCATTTATTAGATTGTTCTAATTAAGATCGGTTCCAGATCAACTTCTACTGCCCATCTGATGGAAAATACCCATCCATGGGCATCGCCTCTACCAAGGGCACGGTCACGTATCTACCTACCCCTGGTAATTCAATAAGTTTCTCATAACTCGTTGAAAACGAGACAGCCGTTTAAGTTCTTATTTGTTTTCAGTGGTAGTTGAGAATATTCTCATACCTGTTATGCTGAATGTAATGTTTTTATTTGGGTCATAATAATATGAGGGGCATTGGTGTATGTTAGTGTCGAGCGGAGTAAAATCCCCGGTTGAAACGGAACACAGAAAAGCGAGGCGTCTGACCAGCAGTCTGGTCTGGTCTGCCTACGGAGGCAAGGTGACCTTTACCTGACCTTACATCTCTCTTCGCAAGCCTAATTCCACATGACCTAGACCGAGAGTTGTTTGTGAGCTATCCGTTTCCTGCCTCGATGGCAACACAAAATTCTCCCTGATACCTGGTTTTCGGGATTTGGCAGGACGCGTGCAGAGCAGCTTTCGTACGTCGTCTTCTTGGGTCTCCTCGCCGATTTCCAACCCAGTACACGGAGGGAATCCAAAACATTTAGAATGCACCTTTGGGCCATATTGGATCATATACAGGTTTCCAGTTCAACAGCGACGGATTGGTGCGGAGATTAATGAACGCGCTCTTTCAGGACCCACCACCTAAAATGTGTGCTTGAAAAATACTAAAATAGATATCTTTTTTAGTTATTCACTCATGGCAGAGGGGTCGTGGTTGAGGACTCTTCATTTTCATTGGCTAAAGCGCCCCCACTGGTTGCGGTCTTCAATGCCACTGCAACTTTGGACCTACGACGTCTCTGTCACAGCTTTTTTGAGGTCTGTCCAACACGTAGATGATCGACCATGTGACCGCCGACGATATAAATTGTACTCGCTAACTGGGTCATAATAAAATAATCGTGTTACGCCTGTGTGTATACTGTGAGTTCTTAGCTTCAAAACCAAGGTCCCACATATTTCTACCACATAATTATAAGTTTTCCAGTGTTTTTCCAGGGCATCTGATGGAACTCATGTTGGCGTTGTATATCGCCTCCGATAATCGTAGGTGGGCAGACGAGTAGGCAGCCAATTGAGTGGTTACCTTAGCATATACAAATTCATATATCACAAAACGAATTCGCCCATCCACCCATATTTGTGTCTGATATCCAAGTCTTCAATTGTATTGTGTAGATATAATAACCATCCCACATTTCCAACTACGCACGCTCTATTCGATTTCCAAAATTCATTACTCTGTATTTTTTCCGTACAACAAAGAATAAGAAAAGTACCAGAGCAGTAAACTCCGAAGGGAAAACCAGATTAGGAATGGAACAAATAACGGACTGGACGATTCATCTTCAAGCAATTTACTTCGGAACAATTCTCGGAAAACAAAACAGGCTGCCCTATTGGATTTAAAAGAGCCGGTAGTCAATAAAGTAGAAGCAAATACTATATCTTATTGTCATTCAGCTCACGGTACCGGTTACTGTCGTTGTCCAGTGATACCAGGGGCGAAAATTTACAAGAATTCAGTTAAAAATAAAAAATAAAATAAAAATATAATACAACATTATTAATTAGGGTATAATGGAATTATTGCGAATACCAACGAGGTAATAATATTAGCATGTAGAACCTATCCCCTATCCCTTTTTACACCGGACCGGACACCCTATCCCTTTACGCCGGACACCCTATCCCTTTTTACAGCGATGCTATGTTTCTATGTTTCGGTTTGAACAGTGTAAACTTTTGCATCTATAGTATTAGTATTATTATTTTTTAATGGTGGTAGGACCTCTTGTGAGTCCGCAGTAATGCGTTTCAGTTTGAAAGGTGGGGTAGCCGTGGTAACTATACTGAGACCTTAGAACTTATATCTCAAGGTGGGTGGCGCTTTTACGTTGTAGATGTCTACGGGCTCCAGTAACCACTTAACGCCAGGTGGGCTGTGAGCTCGTCCACCCATCACACAACAAAATAAAATAAAAAGTGTATAGAAGATTATACATTATAATGATTGCAGCATGAGGAAGCAAGTCGAATAGTGGTAGCATTCCATGTGAGCTTGCCGTTTTGAGCTCCAAGAGCTCACCTATACGCTGAGCCTCTCAAAGCTATCAGCATAGGTATGCATAAAAAGGGGCATGAATAAAAGTATTGTAAAAAACTGATAAATACGCCTATAATACGACAACCCTAAAACCGCCCATCGGCACTCCAAAGAACTTCAAGCGATTAAACTCATAAGAAGGCTACATCCTTTCGACGCATGCAAATACTGCGGTCTGAGTGTAGACCCCCAGATTCGATGTGAAATATGGATGAGCTTACGATATCTCGAACTTTTTGTTCGTCTTTTAGAGCTGTTGATTCGTGATTTATTGTATCTAAATCTAAGTTGAATTGGGAGGAAGGGAATCGAAGTAAAAAGGGTTTTATAAATATTGGAGATTTAAGTAAATTTTGCGCGGATTACGTTTGTTGAAAGTTTTTAGATTATTCTAGAATGTCGTCGAAATTGTATATTTTTGAAATCTTCATGACATATACTATGAGTGGTGGTTAAGGCTGTATGGGCTAATTCCTTTGTCTGCCCATTGGCGAATTAATAAACTATGAATGGTGGAAGTTCTCCGTTTTCGGATGTTATCAAATAAATAATTATTTTTTTGTAAAGCAATGCCAGGGTGAAAGAAATGTTGATACATAAACAAAACAACGTGAAAAAGTAAGGCATAGTTTTTCAAGTACAAATAGTTTTGACACAAAGTTGGCCCACTTTTGGGCATTGTCTTTTGTATTCACAAAAGATAATTCCAAGTTCGAAGCTTAACATTATTTTATAGGATGTAACATTGTCTACGGACACTGAGCTCACCTGCTCGTCAATAAAACGTTGAAAAAAAAAAGTAAAAAAAAAAATTGTCTGTAAAGTCGATTTACGGACGATAATCTTACGTGATAACGTCAGTATGAGAACTATTAGAACTGCCAGCTCTGACGTCACGCGAGAAGAGAGATGAATGTGTCACAAGCCAACGGTTTGGGCCGATCGTGCCTCTCTATCGCTTGTTCCGCGCTCTCGCTTGCACGCTCAGGCGGAACGTGACACTTTTTCGTGCGTGCAGCCTATGTTCATCGATTTATAAAACGTTGACACGTCAAAAACAATTTGCAATTAAATAAACAACAAAACCCGATCGTGATACAGAATAGTCTTCTTATATTCGTTAAAAACATATAAAATCTCATTAAAACAGGAAATGAAAAAACCTGCACGCGAGCAAATATAAGTAATCTTAAGGAAAATCATGGGATCATGTATCAAACTTCAAAAGACATTCGCCTCAAAGGAAGCATTTTTGTATGTGTATCAGGAGGTCTCCTATTAAATTCTTTTAAGACGCTTTCGTTGACAAAAGTTAGGAATTTTTTGGCCTCCTTCGATCTATCTTTTATGTTATAATTATTTTTGGTTTAAAAGACACAGTTTTATTGCTTTTTTCGTTGCTTGTGGCTTGTTACTTGGCAGGCAATGTAACACAATTAAAATTAATTGGGGAGTGGAGTCAATAATCTCAAGCAAACGCGAGAGCACGATTGTCGCTTTCTGTAATACATTGCGTGTTCACGAAATTGAATCCTCAAATAAGACAAATATAAAGGCACATTTATATTGAGTCAGTAACTAACGTCAGTGCATTGCCGAGTCAGTGCTGACCTGGCACTGCCATCGTGTAAATTGATTTCAAGTCAGTACACTACTGTCGCGTCAGTACTGACTTCAATGTTTCCGCTTCATATTGTTCGGCGCCAGTCCGCTCCACATCACAAAATGACATGAAAAGTAAACGTCACGAAGAACTTAAATATTATTCAACTAGCGACCCGCCCTCGCTTCGCTTCGGAAACATTAAAACACACATGAAATCAAAAATAAAAAAGTAAAAAAATAATAAAAAAAAGTAGCCTATGTTCATCAGGGACAATGTCGGCTTCTAATGGAAAATGAATTTTTCAAATCGGTCCAGTAGTTTCGGAGCCTATTCGAAACAAACAAACAAACAAATCTTTCCTCTTTATAATATTAGTATAGACTATACCGCCACAATGAATGCCTGTGCATTCTCAGATTCAGATTCTCATTGCATTGCATTCACAAATCCAGTTTGTATTCCCCAGGATCTTCAAACTGGCCTGCGGCGCGCATTGTGCGGTACCGTACGTTTCGTGGAGTCGGAGTGGTGGAGCTCGATGGGGTTTAGTCGGTAGTCGGTTTTGCGGGGCGGGTCCTGCGTGGTAGACGCCGGGCAGCGCCTCGCGCGCCTTTCTCAAGGCGTAGTCTCCCGGTAGGAATTGGAAGAAGAGGAGGACTTTGGTCTTCCTCTTCTCCCTCTTCTTTTCTGGAAGCGCCGGAGTCCGACATAACCCGGTCTATTACCCCTCTCGACCGGGTATCCGTAAATAGATTCCCCAGCTTTAAAAAAAAAAAAGGATCTTCAAACTGGGTTAACAATAGAGCTGAGCCCCAGTTTGATCTCTGTCATCTATCCATTTTCTTACATAAATTCGCTTATTTTTAGATATTTCTTCTAACATGCCAATTAGTTCTTGCATCATCACAAAGGTACATTTTCTCAATAAATTATTAACTCTGATTTTTTGCTGTTTTCGAGAATCCATTTTCCCGCACTGTCTTTACAAACGTGTTTCCACCATAAGAAATATCCTCGACTACTGACGAAGTACTGACTCCGTATAAATCGTATCGGTCAGTTTTCGGCGCCAGCACTGACGTTAGTTACTGACTCAATATAAACCTGCCTTTATACTCATTTAAAATGAGTCTTAATATTTTCGGCTTACGAGGCTAATACGGCCTAGTTTAGTTTCGAGTACTTTTCCATAAGCCCTGCATTCGCAATGCTCATTCAACTCCGAAGACAATGGTAAACGACTTCTTGTTATTTTTCCACAGCCGTGTCGAGCGAACTCCTCGCTACTGGAAGATGATGTGTGGCGTGAGCAACAGTGCAGCGCTCACGACAGCACCCCGTACGGTGGAGAGCTCTTCCACTGGAGGGCTCATCGGGACGACGCTGAACCCTGCGCTCTGACCTGCAGAGGAGTCCCGCAGCATTCTGGCGTGAGGCCAGAACCGGTAAGTTACATAAACCACTCGCGTTGATTTTATATGGAGTATATCGTTTTGTTACACTCTCCAGCATATCTTCAAAAAACGTTGCCATTTTGTATCGAAGTAGACTTCGATGGAGACAGAGCAGAAGCTGGATTTTACGTCTCAGTTATTGCAGAATGGCTTTTTTTTTTGGAACGAAGTTCCTTATGGGACGATGCAGACCCTAACCAGGAAAAAAGTCCGTAACGTAAGATTTTTATTAGTAATGCATACAGTGTACAACTTAACTTTGTAATAACACACAAAAAATTACATATTTTTATATTGACCACGATCTCAGAGCGTTCGTTTGCGCAATACACTAACTCTTATGCAAATAACCGTGAATGAAGTGTACCACAATAAGTTCGCACGTTACCGAATGACCGTGGGTTATTACGAAGCCTCCAGTTTTATTTTCTTTATACCTCGAATAGAACTTTAAATTAATATTTTTATAATAAGGAACTTCGTTCTTATCCGGTGTCCCACGACACCACACATCTTTTGCGCAGAACTGCTCCATGACAGAAAGAGCTCAAGAAATGCTGCTCGCCGTCTTCCAGTAAATAAATTCTTTTATCGCTTTTTACGTTAACCCTATCTAGTGATGTAGTGGTGCTATTCTAAGATGACACCACAAATTCTAAACGAGCTAAAGTATTCAACGCTCATTATAATTTTTCGTATAATTGTCATAATATTATCTGGATCTATTTTTTTATTATCACTAGTCAAAGCTTGTCTGCTTTGCTGTGCAATATTTGATTTGACTCTGATTCGATAGATATCAAAATTCACTGAATCACTCGTTAGGCCAAACTGAAGTTTTTTCTGAAGATAATTTTCTCGAAATGGGTCCAGTTGCTTCGGTTGATCCGGTTTCGATACTGAATAGACTACGTTCTTTTGTTACAGACTGTGTCACTAGACGAAGACGATCATATCGTGGTGGCTGTGCTCGCCGCAAGAGTGTCAGACGGTACCAGATGCAGGGCAGGAAGTCTGGACATGTGCATTGATGGACGGTGTCAGGTAAGCTATGTTTCGGACTTTGAAGAGTGAGTGTACTATTGTAATGATAACACCAAGTCCTAACTAAGTTGCTAATTTTAAGATTTTTCTCTTGGCAACCCTCTCTTCTGTTCCAGCCTTTTAGCTTCGTGCAGGGCAAGTTGTAATAAAATTTTAATAAAATTAGAATAAACGCTAATTTACTGGTGGTAGGACCTCTTGTGAGTCTGCACGGGTAAGTACCATCGCCCTGCCTATTTCTGCCGTGAAGCAGTAATGCGTTTCGGTTTGAAGGGTGGAGCAGCCGTTGTAACTATACTTGAGACCTTAGAACTTATATCTCAAGGTGGGTGGCGCATTGTAGATGTCTATGGGCTTCAGTAACCACTTAACACCAGGTGGGCTGTGAGCTCGTCCACCAATCTAAACAATAAAAAAAATAAAAAAAAACGTACCGACATCCATAACATATTATTACCTATATACATGTTACGGAACAATAACAGCTTATGGTTGTGGAATGTGGAACGTTTATCTGTATAAGATCAAATGTATAATTATAATTTTCTGTCTTCAAAGGCTTAAGGAAAGTATTCGCGGCACACAGTAGATAAAGATACAGTTTTCGTGTCATTCAATGAACAAAAACATATGGTAGGAGGACCGAGAAAGTCTCATCTATCGGCATAAAGCTTTTTCGTTACGTGACGCTTTTGCCGGTCAACTCTGCATTAGCTACCGTCGATCCAAAATACCAAGGATACGCGGAAGACGTAACGTGGGACGCCCCTTGGTTAGGTGGTGCGATGACCTCCGCACGGTGGCCGGCAAGAAGTGGATGAGGAGAGCCGCAGACCGGGCTCAGTGGTGTGGATTGGGAGAGGCCTATGTCCAGCAGTGGACGACTGTGGGCTGTTGTTGATGATGATGATGATGATCCAAAATAAACGTAAAACCAAGGGCGGATCCAGCTTTGGCGCCAGGAGGGGGTCATATAGTCAAATTTTCGATGCGATTTTCGATTAATTATTGGAATTGAGATGGATATGAGTTTGATGCACTTCTTGACACTCGCGGCAAGGTCACTTTAGTTTTCACTTTTAGTTTTTCACTAATTAATGAGCCCGGACGGAGACGTCCCAGGGATACCTTAACCTTCGGTATCCCACCGCTGCCACCAAATTGTCATAGGGATTTGGCCGAAGGCCTTTTTAAAAAATGAGATTAAGAAAGAATAGATTTATTTAATTAAATTACAATAAATTGGGCTCAATTTAGGGCAAGTGTCACGTGCGCGGATGATGGTTTCAAACTGATTTAAATTATACGAGTAAATATAAAGAGATGATCAAACTGCTGACTTTGTGATTTGTAATGGGGTTCCTTAGCACTATTGTATACGGGAACCATTTATAACAGCTCGTTCCCAAACGCTTGCCATCATACAAAGTTATTATATTATATTAAATTAATTAAATATTGAAGGTATGTAGTTACATAAAATCTGTATAGTGACAAAATATATAAATAAAATCATTAGGTTCAATTAGTGGTTCACCAAGTCCTGGAACCAGCTCAGGGGGGGGGGGGGGGTCATGACCCCATGACCCCCCCCTGGATCCGCCGTTGCGTAAAACACCACAGTACTCTTATCGATTGTTACATATGTACCAACATCAGAGCGAACATCAATTAATACAGTAAACCTAATTTCCGATTTTGAGCACTAAATTCCCTATTTCGTAATTAACTAGGCAACATTATCACGCGCTCTGAACCGCGGCTCGTTCGTCCGGAATTAATCAATAATATGGTGCACGCTTTGTTCGAAATTTGACGATTCGCAATAATAATTCCCCTTTGAATTTTGCGCAGTCGATGCGCGTTTACAATAATTACCCAACCGATTTTCGAACGAAATGGCATCATGGCATATAACACTAAATAATTAAGACAGTTAAAACGAAATCAACTATTTTTAAATATTTTTTTAAGCTATCTTCTATCGCGGGCCTTGAGCGCGACGACTGAATCAAGAAATTCCGTAACGAAAATAACCTGACACCCCCACTACGCCTACTGTGTAGCTCGCTTTCAATACATTCACACGTTGCGCTGGTGTAGTGTTTGTGAATAAGCGCGCGGCGTGACGTCGCACTGTATGAGCATCATGAAAAGTCTGCCCATCTCTCTCTCACGCGGTCTAGCTTATGAGTCTAAAGGGGACAGTTAATGTTTTGCTTTTGTTAATGTTTATAAATATAGCGTGATCTTATTTTTATTATTATTGTTTTAATATTAAATTATTATTGTCTAATTGTAATTGCATAAGTTGATAAAAAATGCTTTGCAATAGCTTTACCGCGGCAGTCCCCGAGTGCCACACGTCTTTTTTTATTACTTAGATGGGTGGACGAGCTATAGCCCACCTGGCGTTAAGTGGTTACTGGAGCCCATAGACATCTACAACGTAAATGCGCCACCCACCTTGAAATATAAGTTCTAAGATCTCAGTATAGTTACAACGGCTTAACTTAACTTAACTTAACTTAACTTAACTTAAATTGGCAACAACAACCAATTCAAATTATTATTTGTTTATATATGTTTTTATATGTATATATTTATGATATGTATATGTATATGTATTTATATTATGTCTATTTATGTATATGTATTTATTTAAGTACGAGTATTTGTATCTATAAATATTATGTATGTTACATATACACATATGTTTACGTAATATCATCTTCATACTACACCTATCAAGCTTCATCTCTGCACTCCCCTAAGGTAGACTGTTAGAGAATGCCTATGGCATTAAGTCCGCCTTTATACTTTCTAGTATATGAAGTTATAAATAAATAAATAAATAAATTAAATTCGGGCGGGCCGCGAGTGACTCCCATCGCCACTGCAAACAGAGCCATCCGAGCGACACCTAACGCCGCACCCCAAATTTTCCACGTCATAATGTTAAATTAACTGTAGCAGAACGCTATTTTATTAATGGCCCACACAAAAAGGTCGTGTTTATTTGCGACCTGCGCTCCGTAAAGCATAACTAACTCAATTTACTACACTACGATGCTATTTCTCGCGTATGCCCTATTTTAAAAGAATCTAGCGTTTTTATCGTCCTGTCCGTTACGTGTTTTAGTGTAGGGTAGTTGTTTGTTGAAAGCAGCAGACCGAATGCGCATCGATGCTTTCGAAATGTGGTGTTGGAGACGCATGCTAAGAATTCCGTGGACAGCCTTCCGGACTAACGTGTCGATATTGAAGCAACTGGGCATCAAAATCAGACTGTCTACTGTATGTCTGAAGCGGATCCTCGAATATTTTGGTCACATTGCGAGGAAAGACGGCGATAACCTGGAAAAACTTATGATCACAGGGAAAGTTGAAGGCAACAGATCTAGAGGCCGCAGCCATACTCGTTGGTCCGATCAGATCCGCACCGCTTTGGACAGTACAGTGTACAGCGCGCTGCATGACGCCGTGGACAGGGGAAAGTGGAAAAAAATCCTAAGATTGAAGCTCATGGGTGATGGTGGTCACGACCCTCAGACATGAGGAACACGACTCGAGGAGGAGGAGTTGTTTGTTGCATAGGTGAATGAACTGTGACGTCACCATCAGCTTGAGACAAGCTGGATGTCTCGGTTGTGGTAAGAACAGGCTCAAACCGGACCACACGATTGATAGCTTCGCGTCGGGAATAGGCAAAGTGGTGGCACCTACACCTGCGAGTATCTAATACGCACTAACACCAGTATTTATGTAAATCATATTTATTTTACTCCACAACATGATATTTTTTTTTTGGTTTAGGTAAAAAGAATCGATTTAATAAAGCGTTTTTTACTGGTTTTGTTTTATTTGTGACTTTTCGAATACTGTTCAGTTTTTGTGGTCAAAAACATAGAAAAGCGTGAAAATCTAGTTTGAAATATGTCCCACAATGTGGTTCCTTCATCATGGAAATCGATCCAGAGCGGGTGTTGAGAATAACTATATTTAAAAAAAAAAAAAGATGCTCGTACATGCCAGAAGGATTTGAACACCGGCATAGTCATATCGCTTGATATGAATAAGTACACCGGGCGTCCTACTACCTGGCCTAAAGGATAAGACGTCCGGTGCATTCGTGTTGAGCGATGCACCGGTGTTCGAATACCAGGCGACTACCAATTTTTCTAACGAAATACGTACTTGCCTAATGGTCACCATTGACTTCCAAGGTGAAGAAATCGTGTAATAAAAATCAAACCAGCAAAATTATAATTTGCGTAATTACTGGTGGTAGGACGTCTTGTGAGTCCGCACGGGTGGGTACCACCATCCTGCCTATTTCTGCGGTGAAGCAGTAATGCGTTTCGTTTTGAAGGACGGGGCAGCCGTTGTAACCATACTGAGACCTTAGAACTCATGTCTCAAGGAGGGTGGCGCATTAACGTCGGAGATATCTGTGGGCTCCAGTAACCATTTAACACCAGGTGAGCTGTGAGCTCGTCCACCCAGCTAAGCAATAAAAAAGCTTCAACAATAAAAGTTAATAAAAAAAGAGCTTGTAACTTGAACCAAACCACTACTTTGCTCATTAAACATTCACACGGCAAGCGCACTGGTTCACACTGAAAGCTAGACACATAGCACCGACCCGTTTTGATAACGAGTTTATTTTTAAAATAAATAACTCGCACCGCTAAAACAATGTGAAAGGAATATGAGCCGTAATGAGTTGTGAAATAAGAGCCCCTTTCGTGTTCGCGCGAAATGTATTCTTGTTTCGGAAATTAAGATAGAAAGTGTGTCCGAATTCAAATTAAGGGGATCTCGGTATTTTTTTGTAATGTCACAATTATTTTTCGGGTCAAGTGAATTTGGGAATTACCTGAAAATAATAAAATCGAAGATATGGTTTTGGCTGAGGTGCTAATTTTTTCATTGGAATCATAGGTTAGACTGAGACAAATTTAAAAAAATTACACTGCAAAAACCCCTTCCGCTTTCAC